ATGGATGTAATGACTAGAAGTGAAAGGGGGATGGGCCATCAGAAACACAGTCCACCATCGGCCTGGTCTCCAACAGTGTAGCTGGTTGAAAAGGCACGTTCCAAACTGAGTGCATACTTCCCAGGCTAGTGATTGTCACCATGTGGATATTTTGGAAGAGTTTTCTTTCTCAATATCAAATCATTGCCAATTAAGAAAAAAAAAAGAAATAGATTTAATTTTGAAAACTCCATAGAAGTCCTTAGCTACACACTGGCCCTGAACTTGTGTCAAGAGACCTTTTAAAATAAAACTATCAATATCCCTAGAGTGAATAATTTCCTTACTGCTGACAGGCCAGGGAAATCGGGAAGACACAATGGATTTTATAAATGGAAATAAAAAAAAATCAGCTCATCAGGACTGCAGAATGATTTCAAAAGAGGTACTTACAAGGGAGCTGAAAATATTTGCTCAGAGGAGCAAATGAATATAGACAGCACTTAGGAGCTTAAATGATGAAAAGAATTCATGTGGCTTAAAAATGACAAATCGATCCATTTTAAAGCAAAATTATTTACAGTTCACTTATCTGCCAAGACTGAAGGCCGCTGCAGCAATTTACATGGACAACAGGAAAAACTCCAAGTCCTGATGAGATATTAGGCCAATGTCATTAAAGGTTGTGCAAAATTCAGACTTGAAGACAAGGCAAAGCAGACACTGGTCCTTTTGCCTCTTTATCTTATCACTTATGGGGATAACTTCAAATGATTTCTTCCAAAAATGACAAGAAAAATTAATGGAGAAGAAAAGAAAGGTATCAGTTGGCTATGAAGATGAATTTAATTCACACTGAATAACACGGGGAGTCTAATACAAGGAACCCGTCTCTTTTCCAGAGCCCCAAAGAATTGAGAGTCCGAGTAGTTTTAAGAAGTGAGGAGCAATGAGGCTTGCTTAAGTGACACTCCTTCTTCAACCATTCTCTCGTGGCTTCTCCTGGTGGCTGGGGGAGCTTTGATTGGTCATATTACTTTGCTGGTTATCAGAAAAGTGGTATCAGGAATAGAAACAACAGGGAGAATTTGAGAAAGAGGCAGAGTGCATCAACTGAGTCCTTCAAGTAGAGGTCACTATGCACAGTATTTAAGTGGTCCTTCCTTTATATCTCTAAAGGATTAATTGATAGCAATGCTCTTGATAGCATCCCTCCCATTGAAAAAGAATGGAAGACAAGAGGTCCGACGTCTTTCAAAATTTCTACCTTTCAGTTTGTTGCACGGACTACAAAAAGGCTGCTGAAAAGACAGCCTTGTTTATCAAAGTCTTCCAGGAAGAATGCTTTGTGCAACAAGTTTTTTGGTAACTGGGAATATTTTGTCTCCTTAATGAATTTGGTATTTTTTTTAATCTGACAATTTAATCTGACAATATTAGTTGAGTAAATGATGCAGCTTCCTACTTTGCCCAGGTTGCTGGAGAATTCTGTAACAATCACAGCACTGAATTACATCTTAGTTCTTTTTTCTGCCTTTGAACAACCACTTAGGTTATTGTGATTAAGAGCTGAATGATTTCATTATATGTGTACACTATTCTATATGCTTTAACTATTGGAAGTACATGCTCATTAACTACTAAACTCATGAGGGCACTCTGTATAGGGGTCTGTTTATGTGGTTACTATTTGCCTTTTCCCAGTTTGGTGAGGGCTGGAACGGTTGTTTAGTCCCAGTTGTATATTGGCACTGGTCTGGCACATAGATCATGCTCAATAAATACTTGTGAATGGAACAAATGGATAAAAAAAATGGCGGTCCGTTGCAATGAATCTATTTTTGGGGAAGAAACGGTCAATAAATCATTTGTAAGTTCCAAGAAGAAAAGTATCATGACCATCTTCTTATAGTATTTCAATGTTTCACCACAATCTTGACATTCAGCACAACCACAAAACTAGTGTGCTGAATAAATGGATGAATGGGTGGAGCGCATAAAAGATGAATGTGTGAGTGACCATTGGGACCACATGGAAAGATCTAAGGAGAAAAGCAAGGCATAGTAGGGAAATGAACTGGTGGGGAAAGACAACAACAGGTGAATAATGATAAAAAATTCGAGGTCTGATGTGATCTTTAGAGCTTTTAATTCTCACATTTAAATCCAAGGTTTTGATTTTGTGTGTGTGATGTAGACTGAGAGTCTCCGTTAAATAAGTTTCCCGTCAGGATGATTAAATTGGACCACAGAATCAGCTTCCCGGTGAGGACTAAAACCTGACAGCAAATATGTCTTATTTTTGTCTCTGCCATTTGCCAGAAAAAAAAATCCATGATGGCATGGAAGTCTGGGTATTAAACTGATAAAATTTTATTAGGACACTATCATTGTCCCCAGTGAGTACATAAACCATAAACTCAACATTTAAAACTAGTCTAGTATGTAAAATTGCCTATTAAGAAGAGCCTATAGAGGTTACCCAGAAGGGAAATAAGATAAAGAAACTAAGTCCTTCTGTTCTAATAAAAAAACAACTACTTAATTATTGGAAAACCTTAGAAATAAAAAAGTATGAGGGCAAAAGAAGCTGCCAGTCACATGTGCGAGACAACAATGTCAAGGAACTAGTAAAAAGAAAAATGATGGTCCTGGGTTAAGACTGTAGATTCACAGTGCTAATAATAAATCCAAAGGCACCACAACCCCATCCAATCAGCATGCACTTCGTTATGCGTGGAGTCTGCATAGCTGACCCTGTCTGTCACTGTGTGAATGGCTTTCTGGAATGATGACATCAAGCTTCCCCCTGGGTTCCCTCCGACCCCAGCAGAAAAATCCTATAATCATCTGTCTCTCTGGCAGGACATCATCAACATTCAAACTGGGAAAGGGAAACAGCTTTCACCCACCTGTACAGAGCTCCCGCTGATCACAGATGTCAGCCAGGCTTTACTGGCAATAGCAGATCTTGGCTGGTAGCCCCCCAAATTTTGTAGAGCAGCTGCCAGAGTGAGCCAGCAATGCTGTGAAAACCATCATTCCTGTCCTGGCACAGAAACTGGGTAAGGACAAGCCCCAAGCTGGGGGTTCGCTCTTCCCTAACCCAGCAACACACCCGTGTTTCAGTTTGTGGTAATTAAGAGCCAGCCACACGTTGGGCAGAGCAGTTAAGAGAGTTGGTTTCCCCCCATCACCCCCCAGGAATGCTGCCTGAGTAACCAGTCTGTGGCTTGCTTATGACAAGGCTTCCACAAAACTAAATGATCACAGGGAATTTTCCTTAACCAACTTGGTAAAAGCAGGTTCTATCACTGTAGGGCACTCTTTGAGTGCAGTTTTAGAATTCCAAAACACTCTGGAAAAGAAGAGATGCGAACGGATCTACCAAAACCCTTCGCACAGTTAAATTTATATAGGATGCAAAACAAAGGCAGAACACCTAACTATTTGATGTCAAGCAGCTTGAATAAATCTATGCTTTCCCCACTATGCGCTGGGTCATGACTATTCCACTTGAAGTGTTTAAAGTAATCCATACATCATATAGCATTGTTGAGTGTGTGTGTGGGGGGGGGGGAGGGGGGCAGTTGCAGGGGAGAGCAAGGCTCCCACTCAGTCTCATCTAACATATAGTTTCCAGATTTATTTTGCAGTTTTTTTCCTCCAAAGGCTACTTAAAGGTATCTCATGATCACCCAGGGATGAGGGGACAGGAGGGTACATACATACACAGACACACACCCAGGCTCTGACATCTGTGGTTCCAAGGTGGGCACCAACCAGCACTTCTCTGCCAGGACATTAACACAGACTGACAAGGGAAGCAGCCCTGGAATCACTCACATGTTCCAATGACCAGGGCACTCATGCTACTGGAATCCCATCAATGATTGCATCCTCCCCGGAATACTTAGGAGTGGGGCTCAGAATGCGGAACGCTCCCTCTCTCCTATCTTTAATAAAGTTCCCATCTCTGCCAGCCAGGTTTGGAGCCGGGTGTAAAGAATTCAGCTGCAGCACTGAGAGCTGCAAAGTTTTTCCAGGGTCCTCTTCCTCCCCCAACGCCCCACCCCCACCCCAGAGGTGGCAGAAAGCTATACATTTTCACCTCCCCCAAATGATCTTAGTCACATGGAAAAACCCTCTTTCTCCTAATGCAAATGAATTGGGAAGCCACTTCCACCTGGATCAATTGCACAGGCATGGGAGTTTTCAGATTTTGAGTTTTTAAGTAGCATTTTAATTTGTTGTCAAAGCTCGGGGAGCAGGAGCAAAAACACTATAGCCTGTAAGCTATTAGCTAACATGTCAACTAGGTAATGCATCTTCAGGGAAACCAGATTAGAAAGGACAGCAAAACATTGATTTTTTTTTTTAAAGAATCCCATACCTGCAGCATAATACTGCTAAAGCTAGCCAAACAACAAAGGACATTTCCACGGCACGAAATGTCTTATTCTCAGTGCTGGGGCAACGGAACATCGTTCCACTGGAGCACAGGCACATATTCCGAGCAGAGCCATTCTCTCTTTAGCCCAAAGACTCACATTTTTTGCAAATATTTCAACATCGAGTGCATGAGAAAGCTCAGGAAGAATCTACCTCTGTGAATGGCTAGAAACACCAGTTGAGAGAGCCATGCGACTCCCAAAGCAGGTGGAGCTCCCCCACCTCCCTCCAAAGGAAACAATAGCATTTGTATCAAGTTAAAATAGCTAAGAAACTCATCCGTTTGAATGAGAGTTGCGACGCGTTTATGGAGAGAAGGATGGATTCCTCACGTGCATGCTTTATCCTCCTTCCTGCAGCCATCCCACAAATCACTAGACAGTTAAAGACCAGCCCAGATACCTTCTACACCAAACCGATTGCCAGGACGTAATATAATGAGCTCCGACTCCAGTTTCCCCCATCTACTTTAAAACACACATAGAGGAGCCAAGTCAGAAAGCATTCCCTACCACCACCCGCCGCCCCCCTGCACCCAAACAAGCACCAAGTAATAGTCAAGTCCTTACCGACTTTGGGCTCTTCTTGGGAACTGGCAGCCCTGGAAAAAAATGCAGGGGGGGGGGGGGGGGGAGGAGAGAAATCATTAGCATGAAAACGTTACCTTTTCCTTAAAGAACAATCCCCAGGTGTTTCATGGCAACCTAGCCATCTGCAGAGTTATGTCAGATTTCTCCCCAGCATCGGAGTTACCAGGCTGTTCATATCGAATCAAAGCAGAGGGAGGAAGAGAGCGAGAGGCAGGAGATCTATCTGCATTAGCTATGCTGACTTGTACTGCAGCAGCCTGGAGGCTGGGAAAAGAAATTCACAGACCTCAGCGGCCTGGGAAAATTGAACACTTGGACAGAATCTCAAATGCTCTTCTGGATTAAGAGAGACTTAATTTACAATTAAGTCCAGGATATTTCCTTTCCACAGGATCCACTTGTCAATTGAAGCGGACCAATCAGGACGGAGGAAGGGGTGTATATTTAGTTTCAGAGGAGAACATGGTTAAAATCTTTCTTCCCCCTCTTCTTCTTTGATCTTTTCTTTCTGTTTCCCCCAACCCTTGCCTTTATTTATCTGACTGTGCTGAACACCCAAAACAAAGGCAGATGCTTTTCAGCGGCGGAGAACACAAATTCAACTTGGTCAAGGAGCCCCTGTGGGTCATCAGCACCCCACTCCCTGCCTGTCAGTCATTCAGGCAAATTCCAATTTAGCTAGAAGGAAAGGGATGGAGCTGGGACTGTAGCTCTTCAAAGAGAATGCAGGTTGTTTGGAAGTAAAAAAAAAGGGGGGGGGGTGGGGGAAAGAAAAAGAAAAAGAAAGAAATCTCACAGAGCTGAGAGAGGAAAGGAAATAAAGGAGAAAGGCAGAAGAGAAAAAGGGTGGGCACTAAACCTGTCTCACTCACCCAAAGACCTGCCCCTGGCCCTGTGGGGGGTGGGGTGGAAGGGAAGCACACAGCCTCCTTCTTTCAATTCTAGGCCGGACGGGGCAGGCAGTTCTGAAACCTAGCACCGGAGGCAATGGTGGGGCAAGGAAGGAAAATAAAGATCCATACTGGTGTTCCAAGAGCTATCCTTCGGCAAGCCACCCTGGCATTCGAAATGAATAGCTTTTCTTTTGAGCCAGGGTGTGAATGCAAAATGCAGGTTCCCTCTGTCCTTTTTCAGCACAGAAAGCTGACCTAGGAAGCCACGTTGGAACCTTCAACCTTTTTGAGAAAATGAACCCCGTGTAGTGTGATGATTTCAACTGTTCTGGAAGTGACTTGTCAAACCCTCAGCCCTGCTAAGTTCAGCAGGAGTAGCAAGAGGCAACGGGAGTGGCAGAGTAGGAGGAAGCCACCCAGAGGCGCGCAGCTAATAAGCTCACTGGGAGTGAAACTTCAAAGGGCTGAGTCCTCCTTAAAGGCACAGGGGCCCTCTGCAGCTGGGAGGTGGCTCCTCGGGACTAATCTGTGGTTCCCATGGTTTAACAGAGTAGCTCTCACACTGCAAGAAGCTGGAAATGAAACGCCCCAGCCCCCTTCTCCTTCTGGCCCAGGAATCTGCGGTTTAAAGCAATGGTCCCAGAAGGTTCTTGCAGACAGAGGCCGGAGCACTGCATTTAAGGAGTGACGATAATGCAGGGTAAGAGTGTTAACTCAGATCTGGCAAACTTACCGAGGCAACCTTCAGCAAGGACTCCATTTCTCAACTTATAAGGTGGAGGTACTAAGACTTACTTTGCAAGTTTTTCTTATACAATTTAATAGACAAAACATTAAAAGCCTCCTTTCCTAGCACACAGTAGAACCTTAAATGGCCACACCTTTTACCTTTGATAATTTATTCCACTAAAGAAAGAAAGGGTTACAGAAATCTTCTCATTCGAAAAACATTTGCTAAGCATAGTAAAATACCAAAAAAAAATATTGTAGGGGAAATACTTCATGAATGAGAATAAGTAGAAACTTAGATAAGTCATTATTCTTAAGAATAATTGGTGCTTTCACTTTTTTAATAATATGAATCCCTTAAGGAATTTATCAAATTAAATTAATATGGGTTGCTGTATAATCTTCAAAATGATGTTACATCTTTTAAAATTTAGATTTTCACCCCTAATTCTGACATCTTCTTAGATGGATTAAGTAAATTTTATCATATTTAGCGCTTACTGTACTGACTTTTTCTAGGATTCCAATAACCCTCTACACACAGTTGTAAAGAATCACCAGTTAGAACTGATGAGATAGTACAGAGGGTAAGGTCCTTGCCTTTCATGCAGCCAACCCAGGCTTGTTCCCTGGCGCCATACATGGTCCCCTAAGCCCCACAAGGATTGACCCCCTGAAGCAGGAATAGGCCCCCTGAGCATCACCAGGTGTGTCCCCCCAAACAAACCAAAATGCAACCAAACAAACAAAGAGAAAATCCCAACAACACCATAAAAAGAATCACCAGCTATGGATTAAAAGTTAGTTCAGGGGTTGGATCAATAACACAGTGGGTAGGGTGTTTCCCTTGCTGACCCGGGTTCGATTCCCAGCATCCCATATGGTCCCCTGAGCACCTCCAGGGGTAATTCCTGAGCACAGAGCCAGGGGGAACCCCTGAGCATCGCTGGGTGTAACCCGAAAAAAAAAGAGTAAAATTTAGTTCAACCTACACACTCTACTAATTATTTATTAAGACTCAGAACATCTTAAATTCCCTGACTCTTATGAGTCTCATTTATAAAACAAAGGTAACTTTTCATTCTCCGTTATCAAAATTTGCACACATATTTAAAGGTGTGGGGGGCAGAGTAATAGAACAGAGGTTAAAGTCCTTGCTGTGCACACAGCCAATTCAATTCCAGCTCTGCATATGGTCCCCAGAGCATCACCAGGAGCCCTGAGCACAGAGCCAGGAGTAAGCCCTGTGCACCATCTATAGTCCCCAAACCACAAATAAACAATAAATAGTATAAAGATGCATGTGCAAAGAAGCATAAAACGGCATTGCTGGTATAAGAAATGTGGTACCACCTGGAAAAGTCTAAGTAGAAATAGCACAGTCAACCTACAGAGGAGCCTGCAGAGATGCAAAGGAATGAGCTATGGACAGATTATAACATGGGAGGCCTCCAAAATATAGTGCCATGGAAAAACATTACCCAGCTGCGGACACACTCTAACGCATGCATGTATGTGTGGCACTTGGTGTGGTGGCCTTTCACACCAAAGCAGTCGCTGGTCCTACAATTGGGGCCGGCAACCACAAGGACTGGCTGAAGGAGGTTTCAGCTCTAATTCGAGAATTCTTTTTCAAGAACACCAAATTCACATCTTGCTGAGATGATATAATATCCACTTAAAAGTAAACATTAATCAATGGCCTTTCCACTAACTGTCACAACACCAACCATCTCGAAACATACTAGGCTTCAGTTAAGTCATCTTTTTTTTATGAAGAAGCGATCAGTGGAATATTTCAGTAGATTCCAGCTCAACTGACACCAATCACATTATCAAGCAAACAAGAAAAAAAAACATTAATTTTTATTAAAAAAGGAAATTGTTCCTTTTTGCTAGTTATGGATATCCTTCTTTTTTAAAAGCCACACCTGGGATTGGAGAGAGAGTGGAGTGGGTAGGGGTTGTCCTGCATGCAACCGACCTGGATTTGGTCCCCAGCAGTCCAGAGTCCCCCAAATCCTGCCGGGAGTGATCCCTGAGTGCAGATCCAGGAGTAAGCCCTGAGCACTGTATGATGGGACCCCCAAACCAAAGAAAAATAAAAATAAAATAGGAAGCTATACCTTATAACAGAAGCCAGTAGGGGACACAAAGTAGTATTTGAAAAGTTTAAAAAAAAAAGTGCAGTCAAGAGAATCCAGATGATTGATTGCTTTTTACAAAACAAATTAGACATGGTTTTTGAGTCTATAAAGTCCCTAAATTTTAAATATGGAAGGAGCGGGGTGGAATTATAGGTTTAAGGGATAGAGTATAGATTTAAGGCACTTATCTTGCATGCAATCAACCTGGTTTAATCTCCAGTCCCATGCATGGTGCTTTGAGCACCACCAAGTGAAAAACTGAGCTCAGAGCCAGGAGTAACCCATGAGTACTGCTGCGTGGAGCTCAAACCTCACCTCATCCCCAATAATTTTGGATATGAGTGCTGGAACAAACCTCCTTATTACAACGTAGGATTTATCTTAGTCTAAATGATTCCCATGCCTTTAATACATCCCAGAGACCAAATGGAAACCACTTGGGGGAGGGGATGCAGAAGAAGAAGGTTAATTTCGCTAGATTTCTCCAAGAGAAGGAATTATAGCTGTGACTCTTATCTGACTAGAGTGAACATCAAACTCTCCCATGCTGACTGGGTGAGAGAGTAGAAGGATTCCTCCCACCCTCACCCCACTTCACAGCACTTTCAGAGAACAAACACACACTACCTTCTTCCCCTGCTGAGGCAGGAGGTATATAAACCCCTGGTGTATAAACTGTGTCAAATACTCCTTGTGAGCCATATGGGCAGAAAGGCACTTGCTTAATGGGCTCATCTGGTCCTCTTAGGGTGAGGAAGAGGAGTTTTGAGAAGAGGAAAAAGAAAGAGTCTTGGATGGCGCCATCTGCCTTTAGAGCCTCATCAGGGGCAGATGCCACTTCAAAGAAATCCCAGGACACTTTTACAGGGGTGTGTGCTTTGAAGTGTAGGTCTAAGTGCAATCTCTAGATGTGAAAAGAGCCTGCGACCTGAATTTCTAAAGTTCCCTATAAAAAATGCTGTCCCTTTGGAGAAAACAAATGGTGTACTCTTTGCTAAGACTGGGATCTGAGCTATTACTGTGAGAAGCAGAAAATCTTCCTTTTCAATATCAAGGGCATAAAGTCTTCTACTACAGAACTGTGACTATGTTTTCATGGTACTAACTGGCAGTATGCTATTTTAAATAAAGTTTTATGACTGCTGTACACAATTATAGGAGAAAGAAAAAATATAAAAAAGTTCCTATGTATTTAGAAGCAGACTTGAAGATTAGATCCCAAATCGTGGTTTTAGGTTCACA